AGTCCTTAAAAAATAGAGCTGATATTATGGAGGACAGAATGAGTAATTTAGAGGACAGAAATACAGAAATCCTGCAGATGGAGGAGGAGATAGAACTAAGACTAAAAAGAAATGAAGATTCTCAGAGAAATATCTGACTCAATTAGGAAATGCAACATAAGGATTATAGGGACTCAGGAGGGAGAAGAGCATGAGGGAGAAAGGAGCAGAGAGATTGTTCAAAGAAATAATAGCTGAAAACTTCCCAAAACTGAGGAAGGAGCTGGAATTACATGTAAACGAAGCTAACAGAACTCTTAATTACATCAACATAAAAAGATCTTCTCCAAGGCATATATTAGTAAAACTAGCAAAAGCCAATGACAGAAAAAATGCTAAGGGCAGCAAGACAGAAAGAAGAAAATAACCTACAAAGGAATGCCCATCAGGCTCAGCAGATTTCTCAGCAGAAATTTCACAGGCTAGTAGAGAGTGGAATGACATATTCAAAATCCTGAAAGACAAAAACTTTGAGCCAACAATACTCTATCCAGTGAAACCATCCTTCAGATATGATAGAGAAATAAAAACTTTCCCAGATAAACAAAAGCTAAGGGAGTTCAACCAAAGATGCGCTCCCTTACAAGAAATAATCAAGAAGACCCTCATACCTGAAAAAAAAAAAAAGGTTTACAAACTGTTGAGCAAGGAGATAAGTAGACAGACAAAAATCAGAAAATTGAAGCTCTCTATCAGGACAGGGCAGCAAACAATTAATTATAACATTAGAGATAAAGGGAAGGAAACCATCACTTCATTTTAATCACAAACTCACAACACAAAATGGAATAAGTTGTGACAACAATAACTTAGACAGGAAAGAGGAAATGGATGGAACCTGCTTAGACTAAGGGAATAAGAGACTATCAGAAAAAAGACTATCTCTTCTATGAGATCTTTTATACAAAACTCATGGTAACCACTAAAGAAAAAATCAGAACAAAGACACAAATGATAAATAAAGAGAAAACCGTCATAAAGAAGCATGAAACTGAACAGGCAGTTGGATATGCAAGGACAAGAAACAAGGGAAATATACAACAATTGGAAAACAAGTGAGAAAATGGCAGCATTAAGCCCTCATGTATCATTAATTACTCTAAATGTAAATGGATTGAATTCTCCAATAAAAAAATAGAGTGGTTGGATGGATTAAAAAACAAAACCCAACAATATGCTGCCTCCAGGAAACACATCTCAGCTATAAAGACAAACACAGGCTCAGAGTGAAGGGATGGAAGACAATACTCCAAGATAATGGCAAACAAATGACAGCATACGTTGCCATACTTATACCAGACAAAATAGACTTCTAGATAAAAAAGACAATGAGAGACAAAGAGGGGCAGTATATAATGATAAAAGGGACACTCCATCAAGAGGACATACCACTTATAAATATATATGCACCTAACACAGGAGCATGAAAGTACATAAAGCAACTATTAACAAACCTAAAAGAAGATATTAACAACAACACAATAATAGCAGGGGACCTTAACACCTCAATTTCATCAATGGATAGATCATCCAGACAGAAAGTCAACAGGAAACAGTGGAACTAAATGAAAAACTAGACAAAATGGACTTAATAGATGTATATAGAACACTCCATCCAAAATCAGCAGAATACACATTCTTCCCAAGCGCACATGGAACATTTTCTAAGACAGACCATATGTCAGGAAACAAGGTAAGCCTCAACAGATTTAAGAAGACTGAAATCATATCAGGCATCTTTTCTAACCACAATGCTATGAAACTAGAAATCAACCACAAGAAAATAGCTGAGAAAGTGACAAATACGTGGAGACTGAACAAGATGCTACTGAAAAACCAATAGATCAATGAGGAAATTAAGGAAGAAATCAAAATATATCTGAAGACACATAACAGTGAAAATATATCATACCAATTCATTTGGGATGCAGCAAAAGCAGTCCTAAGAGGGAAATTCATAGTAATCAGGCCCACCTTAACAAATAAGAAAAATCTCAAATAAGTAATCTTAAAGTACATCTAACAGAACTAGAAAGAGAAGAACAAATAAAGCCCAAAGTCAGTAGCAGGAAGGAAATAATAAAAGAGCAGAAATAAAACCAAAAAACCAGCAGAAAGAATCAAAGAACTAAGAGCTGATTCTTTAAGAAGATAAACAATATTGACAAACTCTTAGCCAGACTCACTAGGAAAAAAAGAGAGAAGCCTCAAATAAATAAAATTAGAACTGAAAGAGGAGAAATTACAACAGATACCACAGAAATGTGAAGGATTATAAGAGAATACTATGAAAAACTATATGCCAATAAATTGGACAATCTAGAAGAAATGGATAAATTCTTACACTCATACAACCTCTCAAAACTGAATCAAGAAGAAATAAAGAATCTGAATAGAATAATCACAAGTAAAGAGATTGAAACCACAATCAAAAACCTCCCCCAAAATAAAATTCCAGGATCAGATGGCTTCTCCGGAGAATTCTACCAAGCATTCTAGGATTTAACACCTATCCTTCTCAAACTATTCCAAAAAATTGAAGAAGATGGAACATTTCCTAACACATTCTATGAGGCCAACATCACCCTGATCCCAAAGCCAGATGAGGACAACACAAAGAAGGAAAATTACAGAACAATATCGCTGATGAAAATAGATGAAAAAATCCTCAACAAAATATTGGCAAATCAAATACAGCAATATACTAAAAGGATCATACACCATGATCAAGTGGGATTTGTAGGGATGCAGGGATGGTTCAACATCCGCAAATCAATCAATGTGATAACCACATTAAGAAAATGAGGAATAAAAAACACATGATCATCTCAATATATGCAGAGAAAGCATTCAATAAGATCCAACATCCACTTGTGATAAAAACCTCAATAAAATGGGTATAGAAGAAAAGTATCTCAACATAATGAAGGCCATAGATGACAAATCCACAGCCAACATCATACTCAATGGGAAAAAACTGAAAGCCATCACTCTGAGAACAGGAACAAGACAAGGGTGCCCACTCTTGCCACTCTCATTCAACATAGTACTAGAGGTTTTGACCAGAGCAATTCAGCAGGAAAAAGAAATAAAAGGTATCCAAATTGGCAAGGAAGAAGTTAAACTCTCAGTGTTTGCAGACAACATGATTTTATACTACAAAACCCTAAAGAATCCATCAGAAAACTATTAGAAATAATCAACAACTACAGCAAAGTTGCAGGGTACAAAATCAACTTACAAAAATCAGTTGCATTTCTATACTCTAACGAGGAGCTAACGGAAGGAGAACTCAAGAATACAATCCCATTTACAATCGCAATGAAAAGAATAAAATATCTAGGAATAAATTTAACCAAGGAGGTGAAAGACCAATACAATGAAAACTATAAGACATTACTGAAATAAATCAATGATGACATAAAGAAATGGAAAGATATTCCATGCACATGGCTTGGAAGAATAAACATAGGTAGAATGTCCATACTACCTAAAGCAATCTACAGATTCAATGCAATCCCAAACAAAATCCCAATGAGATTCTTCATGGAAATTGAACAAAGAATCCTAAAATTCACATGGGGAAACAGAAGACCTCAAATAGCTAAAGCAATCCTGAGAAAAAAGAACAAAGCTGGAGGCATCATAATCCCTGACTTCAAAATGTACCACAAAGCTATAGTAATCAAAACAGCATGGTACTGGTACAAAAACAGACACATAGATCAATGGAACAGAATTGAAAGCCCCAGAAATAAAACCACACATCTACGGACAGCTAATCTTCGACAAAGGAGCAAAGAACATACAACAGAGAAAAGGAAATCTCTTCAATAAATGGTGTTGGGGAAACTGGACAGCCACATACAAAAGAATGAAAGTAGACCATTATCTTTCGCCATAAACGAAAATTAACTCACAATGGATTAAAGACTTGAAGGTAAGACGTGAAATCATAAAACTCTAGAAGAATATATAGGCAATACACTCTTTGACATCAGACTTAGGAACATCTTTTTGAATATAACGTCTACTTGGGCAAGGGAAACAAAAGAAAAAATAAACAAGTGGGACTTCATCAGACTAAAGAGCTTCTGCAAGGGAAAGGAAACTAGGAACAAAATGAAAAGACAACCCAACAACTGGGAGAAAATATTTGCAAATCATATATTCCACAAGGGGTTAATCTCCAAAATATATTAAAAAACTCACACAACTTAACAACAAAAACCAAACAATCGATCAAAAACTGGGCAGAGGATATGAACATTTTCCCAAAGAAGATATACAGATGGCCAATAAACACATGAAAAGATATTCAACATCACTAATCATCAGGGAAATGCAAATCAAAACTACACTAAAATATCACCTTACATCTGCTAAAATAGCTATAATCACCAAGACAAAAAATAACAAATGTTGGAGAGGTTGTGGAGAATAGGGGAACCCTCATCCACTTCTGGTGGGAGTGCAAACTGGTCCAGCCACTATGGAAAACAGTATGGAGATTTCTCAAAAAGCGAAAAATAGAAATACCATACGACTCAGTTATCCCTCTACTGGGTATTTATCTAAAGAACTGGAATCAATAATTCAAAGAGACCCAAGCACCCCTATGTTCATTACAGCATCATTCACAGTTGCCAAGATGTGGAAGCAACGCAAGTTCCCACTGACTGACAACTGGATAAAGAAGATGTGGTGTATATACACAATGGAATACTACTCTTCCATAAAAGAGACAAAATTGTCCCATTCACAACAACATGGATGGACCTTGAGGGTGTTATGTTAAGCAAAATAAGCCAGACAGAGAAAGACAAACACCCTATGAGTTCACTCATAAGCGGAAAATAAACACACACATGGACAAAGAGAACAGATTAGTGGTAATCAGAGGGGAAGTGAGTTTGGGGGTGGGCAAAAGGGGTAAAGGGGCACATACATATAGTGACTAATAATAATGTACAACTGTAATTTCACAATGTTATAAACTATTATGACCTCACTAAAATAAAATAAATAGACTTCAGATAATGGCAACACAAAGCTCTGAATCGAGTTTCCAAAAAAGAATCATTCATATTAATATTTTAATGAGAGCAAACTCATTTTTAACTGTTAAAATAAATACTATTAATTTCATTTTTATGTACACTTTTTTAGTTTCTTTTTTAGTCTACGGCTTTAAGGTACAAAATACGATTTGTATAGTAGTAAGTCATATAATTTTCAAATAAACAAATAATCCACATATATGGAGATATGTGATCAACTTTCTTTACTGACAGGGTAAGCAAACTAACAAGTTTGAAGATGGCTGCGCCAGGCTGCCACCTGCCCATAGAGCCATAGAGAATTGATCTTGACAGATTCCTTGAGATGCCTTAGCTTGGTATCTTTCTATAGATATAATTCCTTTTATCTTTTGAGTTCATATGGTTCAAGGAAAAAAATATACATACAAACAAATAATCCAGTGACAACTTTCCCACCTACCCTCCCCCATCGGCCAATTCATAGTACCCCCATCCGGTGATCCCTGTTATCAGTCTAACTCACCCATGCAAAGTGGTTGTTATAAGAATACAAAGAAATGTGAATATATATTCTTATGTTTGTTCTCATGCACAAAAGGTAGCACATGATAATTCTGTTTTCTGACTCTCTTTTCACTTAGCAAAATACCTTGGAGATCTTCATCAGGTTATAAAGAGCATTGTTGTTCTTGTTTTCACAGCTGCACAGTATTACCCTGAATGGATATTTCATAATTTATTTAACTGGTTCCATATTTTTGGATGTTTAGGTTGTTTCCAATCTTTTTTCCAATCATATAATGCTGCAGTGAAAAAGGAGCACACATTTCATCTTGCATGTGTGCAAGGCGATCACAGAATGACTTTTCAGAAGTGGAAGTGCGGGCCCAAGCAGACATGTTTTCCTGCAGATAAATACCACCACAGCGGGCCCCACACAAGGTGCCCGTCAACAGTGCCAAATGCCTCGGGCCAGGGCCTGTTTCCGCATAGCCTTGTCAACAAATTTTTGGAGTCTTGCCAAGATGACTGAAAAATGGTCTCTCACTATAGTTTTAATTTACATCTGTTTCATTATGAGGAAGTTAAAGATCATTTTGCATATTTAAAAGCCATTTGTATTTCCTTCTCTGTGAAATGTCTCTTTATATCCTTGGTCCACTTTTCTGTTGGAATGATTATTCATCTTTTGGTCTTGATAAATTAGGAAGATTAGTCCTTTGTCTACAATATGAGATGAACTATTTTCTCCAAGTTTGTGATTTCTCTTTTTTACTTTTCTTACGATCTTTTTTAATATGCAGAAATTTTTGTTGTTTGTTTATTTTAAAAAAATGAAATTATCAAACTTTTCTTTTATGGCTTTTAGATTTGAGTAATAGTTGGAAAATGCTTCTCCACTCCCAGATCATAAAGCCTTCTCCTTTGTTTATGTCTATTACACTTACGGTTTCTTTCTTACATTTAAATCTTTGATAAATCTGAAGCTGTCCCAGGACATGGTATGAAGTAAAGACACAATATCTTTGCCCAGGTGGCTATTCACCTGTCCCAAGACCACCTACTGAATGGCCCTCATCCTCCCCACCAGTCTAAGACGTGTGAACCACATACTAAACTGCCATGTGCATTTGCTCCTACTTATGGCTTTTCTCTTCTGTTTCTTTAGTTTGTCTCTCTATTCAAGTACCAGTACCACACTGTTTTACTTATTACAGCCTTATGTTTTAATATGATTCCTAGGCTATTTAGTGTTTTATATACAATAAGAGAGTTCTGTCTCTGTACAGGTTTTAAAACCAGACAGCTGAGGGCTCAAACCCCCGCTCCCCCTATAGCTGTGTGACGTTGGGCAAGTGATTTAACCTCTCTGAACCTTAGTTTCCTAACCTGTGACTTGGAGATAATCATAACTTCTTTCCTGGATCATTTTAAGGATTAGAGATCCTCGGGTGAAGCCTTATTACACACACGTGGTAGACTCTCCGTGGTAGCTATCACAGGTATGTTGCCAGGTTTCAAATTGTTAAGACTGTATCCAGATTCAATAGAAACTGTTAGCTTGCCTACTTGTGTTTACCAAGTGAAAAATCATCTCAAATGAACAAATCTCTGATCAAAGAAGAATTCTGAGGAGAGAGTAAAGAAGAACCTTAAAACCCTAACTGAATTAATTACCTATTTAAAAAACATTTATTGAGCAATTATTATACGCCAGGAACTCTGCTGAGTTTTAAGGATGCAAATAAAATACAACATCCAATGTTTGGGTGCTGACTACCCATCATTTGCTAGGCGTTGACTCTCTGCTGAGTGGCTGATTAGAGGGCGTCCTCTGCCGTTCCCTCCTCCTCATCGCATTCTCACGGCCTGACTGTGACGACACTGCCCTCGCCCTTCCCCTGCGTCGCAGCCTTGGGCTCACCTTTGCCTTCCCTGCCCAGGCCTCTTCCCGTGCTCGACCATCACTGCTGCTCTTCCAGGGCTTCCATCTGGCCACGGCCTACCCACGCACCCTACGCCATTCAGTCCACTTTCAGTCTCACAGCACGATGACTGATGGATCTTCATCTCCCTCCGTCAAGTTTCAAACAAGCGGATCCAAAGTCCCACTGCACAGCTTCATCCGGACCCTCTACAAGCTCCCAAAACTCAGAAACTACCAAAAGGAGTTCATCGTTTTATATTCTAAAGCTCTTTTTACCTCCCACCCAAAGTTCCCTGAACTCGCTCTGTAGTTTCTTTCATCCACACTCCCTCCTCCACCAGCTAATTTCCTTGCTGTGGGCAGGATTCTCAGACGACCCCTGATAGAATCCCCTCCCCTGAGTGGGGTGGAACCTGTCACTGCCGTCTAGATCACCAAATACGGCAAAAGTGATGGGACAGTCGCCCCCTTGATTGTATCACAATATGACACCAACTCAACTGATTGGAGCCAGAATCTCTGCTGGCCTTGAAAATGGGACAGCATGCTGTAAGAGGGCCACGTGGCAAACAAGTGCAGAGCCTCTTGGAGCCAAGAGTGGCCCCTGTTTGACAGCCAGAGAAAACGGGAACCTCAGTCCTACAACCACAACAAACTGAATTCTGCTGAAAATCAGATGAGCTTGGAAGAGACCACTGAGCTCCAAAAGGAACTCAGCCAGGCCAACACTCTGATTTTACCTTTTGAGACCCTGAGCAGAGAATCCCTTTAAGCCTGGACACCTGACCTACAGAAAATCTGAGGTAACAGAAAAGGGGGGTTTTAATCCACTAAGTTTGTGGTAATGTGTTATGCAGCAATAGAAAACAAATACACATCTACTCATCCTTTAGGAGTTAACTCAGGAAGCTTTCTTTGATCCTACTTCCTTCTCCCCACTCCACCCACACTAGGTTGGGTAACCCTCTGAAGCCTGGAAATATCCTGTGCTAATCTCTGTTATTGGGCCTCTGGCACTGGACTGCCATCATCCATCCTATTGGTCTCACCTGCTTGATGAGCTTGCTGAGACAATGTCTTAACCACCCTTCATCCCCAGAACATAGTCTGGCACCTAGTCTAGCTCAACAAACATTTGCTGAATGAAGGCATGAATGCAAGGTTCAAGAATAGTATTTTTGGGCCTGGTAAATGACACACTGAAAGTTACCATGGATATCTTCGTGCAACTAATAAAGTAGCATCCTGATAACAGGTACTATAACCCAGTGCTTCTCAACCTGTAACATGCATACAAATCACCTGGGCCTCTTGTTAAAATGCAGATCTTGAGTCAGTAGGTCTGGGGTGGGGCCTGAGATTATGAGTTTCCAACAAGCCAGCTGACGCCACTTAAGGTCTGGGGGCCACAGGCGGGGCCGCATGGCCGCTGCTCCATAGAGCGGGTGGGGGTGGGAGAGCAGGAACCCATCCTATCTGCCTCTCTTGTGCTGCATGTGAAACAATGAACTGAATCGGGTCTAATTTTCTAGGGTAGCTCTTTACCCCAATTTCATCCCCCTTTACCCACTCGACACGTGAAATTTACATAATTCAAAACAACATGAGTCCTGTCTCATACAGGTTCTACTGCAAAAACTGAAATAGTAACAAGAAATAGTATTTAAAGAGTTGATTACGTGAGCACAACAGCTCCTGAAGCATTTTTATAATCACTGTATCATTCAAATATAGAAAGGAATACAGAACATGCTGCCTGTCACTCAGTTGGTGGATTAGGGTGTTTGGTTCACCCTTCTTTATTTGCTATTGAAATTCTGCCTAGATAGAAGAAACATATTCCTCACAAAAATGACATTACCTCTTCCTTAAGAGTTAAATTACTCAAGCTCCTTATGTGCATATGTCTTTTGGATGGATCAAGATTATAGATGTGTAGACATACACAGGAAAGATGATAATTTTGCACGTCAAAATAAATTTACATTTCTCTTATGCTATGCTGCCCTCATTCTTTGAACAATTTTGCAAATAAAAAAGGATTTACTACTATATGATAGAGCAGGAAGAATTCTGAATTTGGGGTCTGGTGACCTAAGACCAAACGCCAACCCTGCCATAAAGAGCTGCAAAACTGGAACAAACGACAGCGAGCCTCCGGCCCCGACTGCGCCGGTCTGTGAAATGAAGCACTTGGACTCCACGTTCCCCAGAGCTCCTGCGGCTCTAACATCCTCTGCCTCTGTCTGGGCTAACGCTTTCATAAAGCACATAAATCCACACCACTATTAATGAATAGAGAATTAATTTTTTAAAAAAAGGAAAAATGAGCCCTTTTATCCTCCCAGACAGAACTCTTAAGGAAATAGACATGAATGGAGAAAAATAAAACCATTACTGTGATTTCTCAGGTTTCAAACTTTAGCTCTGAAAACTGAAAATAAAGCTTTAGGAATAAAACCCAGTGCTCCGAAAGGGGGAGATAATGGTTTAAGGAACATAAAGTAAGTCTTTGCTATGGTACCTCTCCATCTGCCAATTTAAAATCCATCATTTCGGAAGAGAGGATTATGAGGTGGGAAAATAACCAAAAAGGCCTGATTTCTGTTCCCTCCTGATGGCCTTGGATGCATCATATACTTATACTACAAGTTACAATGATGTTTTCTAATTAATCAGTGTCTTCATTTCCCTGTCTATGAATTCCAATCAAGGAAGCAAAACAAAGGATTTTCACCCACCAACTTGTGTTTGGTGATTTCAAGCCATGACCTTGGAACTGTCGGGCAACGCCTCCACCCTTCCCTTCACCGTCAGACCGCACTCCAGGAGCACTCCAGGGCTTTCGGGCACCTGCTGGTCCTCTGCCATCAGAACAGAGGGTGACACCCACTGGCTGCATGAACTGTAGGAAACACTGAAAGCCTGTTTAACAACTCCAGTGATAAACCACTATCTGAATTTCACCTGCTGTTTCAAGTCCACTTTTCAAATTCTTTTTTGCTCTGATTCAATGTGGGATACAAACTAAAGACAAATGAAATTAACCTTCTAGATAAAAGTACAGGAAAAGATTACTTGCCATTGCTCTCATGGAATTCAGATGCAGACAGAGAGGAAATGCTCTCAATTTTGTTCAAGTAATAATATAGCTACAGTCTCTGAGTGACATCTCTATAGTATTTGTATTACTCACGTTTTTTATGTTCTGTATTTTATGATGCTTTGACATTTAGCGGCTTGCGGACAGAGGAGGGACTGGCCCTTTCAGAGTGAGCTCATTCCTAGAGGCAGCAAACAACTTGTCTGTGATCACGCCCTTGATGTGCAAACCAATGAAGCCTGAGTCCACACCCCTCTCACGTCTTTCTATCAGGCGCCTGCACTTTGGGACACTATTCTCCTGCCCTGAAGCATCCCGGGGCAGGCAGACCATTAAGACGGCCCTTAGAGCCGGACCACCGAAATTATCCAAACCAGCGATGCTAAGTCTGCTCCCCCTGCCTCGCCCACTCCTTCCCACAGAACACGATGAGGCTTGTGCCCACATTCTCCCTTGCTCCTGCTGCCTCCTGGCCAACTCTGGTGCATCCCTGGGCACAGCATGATGTCCCTGGCCTCCTGGAAAAGAGAGTAACAAACGATCTTCAGTGGCAGTGGTCTCTTGATCAGTGAGCCTCAATACACCTGGATAAAAACAAAATTCCAGGTATGTTTTAAAACAGTATTTGCTGAGAGACTTATATGAAAAATAAAGGGACCAAAATCTAAAACAGCTTTATAACATCTTCTTACTATGCTTCCTCTATATATAAATGAATTCTGTTGGCTGATGCAAACTGTCATCAGACGTGTGGGGCAATAAGACGATAAATGAAGTACTACTGAAAGACAAGGAACTAAAATAATCCTACCCTCAACATTTTCTCAATATCTACTTAAAGATAGTACTAAAAAGACTTCATCGAAGCCAACACGGCCCCCTCCTGTCGGAGTGCCACATCCAGCAGCCACAACGTCAAGTACACCACGCTCTGCTCTGCCGGCAAGACCCTCTCCGCCTGGCCAGGCTGACCTCCCAGTCATCTTACTGTCTCATTATGTACCAAATTCCAGACTTACTGAAATGGAAAGACCCTTAAAGATCTTCTAACCTAAGACCCTGGTTCTATAGACAAAGAAGCTGAGCCCCAGGCTGGGGAAGGACTCGTCCCTGGTCACAGAGCTAATTATCACGAGAGCCAAAGACTAACGTCCAAATATTCTGGCCCCCAGTCCAGGGCTCATTCTACAAAACTTACCAGGTCATTATAATCTGGTCACATATCACATATGATAAAATGTGCTTCCAACCCCGTCCCTTTGCTCATGCTGCCTCCTCAGCCCGGACGATCCCTCTGGGACCCTTCAACTTCCTTCTCTCTCAAGGTCAGCTGCCCAGAGAGAGTACCCAGATGTGACAATGCAGTTAAGTTGTATTCCCTCATATTGCATTTTACCAGGCTGGATTTAAGAGCCGTTTGTTAAAACAGCATTAAATAAATATTTTTAGTTACTAAATAAATTAAATAAAGCATTAAACATGGACATCTTAGATGCTCTTCATCCTTCAAGGCCAAATGCAAGCTCCGCGCAATGATCCCACCTTCTCCGAAGGCTGAGCGGCCCGAGAGCACTGGCCGGAGAGCACCGGCTGCCTCCGCTCCTCCACGGGAGTCAGTTCTCTTCCACGCGGCCACATTCTAAGATCCTGTAGAGAATGAATAATGTCTCATATTTCTATTTCTCAAAGTTCATGATTCACTAATTAGATGTAGATTCACAGATTTTAAGAGGTTCAGGGGGAGAAGACTGGAACCTAACGTTTATTCAGTATCAGATATTTTATATACACAGAGACCACATAGTTTATTCTCATATAGTCAAATAAAATTTCTTTTTTTATTTGGGAAACTTGCATTTTTATGTAGGAAATTTGAAATTTTACAGCCTACATATAGTTTGGGGTTTTGTGCCTAGAACACCAACATACACACCAAATATCTATGAATCACCAAATATCTATGACTATATTTAAAAAAATGCTTAGTTTCCCCAATTATCATGTGCCTACACTTTGCCAGTCAATTCTAAAGGTGGTGGGTGGAAAAGGCTAGCAAATGGCACCCAAAATGACACCTGCCTGTGTGCTGGACGCTGTGGGAAGCATGGTGCATCAGGGAGACCACCGGGGCGGGGCGGGGCAGGGCCCAGCCCGGCTGCAAGGCTGCAGCACTGGGAGCCCGGCGCGGTGACCAGAAGCTCATCCACCGGCAGAGTTTAGTACACAAAGACATAAGATGTGTAATAAAACCTAACGAAAAGAGTCACTCTCACAGCCGCTGTCAGAGAAGCCTGAACTGGGCTGCCCTCTTTGGAGGATGATACAAACAGCTCATCAAAATGTCAAACACACACACTCTTTAGTATAATTCTACTGATAAGATTTTGTCTATTAATCAACTGCAAAAGCATACAAGATATGTGAATAAGACCATTGGTTGTAACATGGCGTGTCATGTCAAAAAGTAAAAATCATCTAAATGTATACAGAAGAGCACTGTTCAAATAAATCATAGTTCAGCACAGAATGGAATACCATGCACCACTGAAACTAATGACAACATCTGCATCTCCAAGATACACACGCTTAAGAGCAAAAAAAGCAAGATATAGAACAAGAAAGAGAGTGCGGGCCCATTTGAGATACGCGTGTGCATGTATGTGTGTATCATGTATGTCTATGTGCATATAGAGTTTGAGTTTTTCAGCTTTCTCTTTTTGTTTTTGATTCGTATATAAATATGAATAAAAACAAGAAAACGTAAACAGTGGTCACACCTTTAGGAAAAGATTTGGGAGTTTAGTGTGTGGGTGAGTGACTACGGCAGAGAATTTACTTCTTATTTTCATACCTATCAATATTATTTGATTTTTTTAACTATGTGATTGCATATTAAAAAATATTAATAAGTATTTTTTAAATTCTATGAAGAAACATAAAAGTATTAGTCTAGGAAGACATACATTGACATATTATCAGCCTCTAAAAATTATTAGATATTCAAGATATGAAATCACTGTCTCAAAAGCAGATGTTCAGAAAGCACCAAACTCTCCATTAGTCTGGCGTTTCCCGTGCTTAACCTGCCAGCGCTAGTTTGCTGGGCTGACGGGAAATGTCACTGTATCATCCTAAGGGTAACATGCAAAGTAAAGGATGCTATTGATATTTCACACAAAATTCAAACACGATTTTAATCACTGAACTCAAACGCGCCTGAACCCCTTTCTCTCCACAGTGCGTGCAGATGTATTAAATTGATTACTGTACTAAACCATTAAATTCAACTAATGAAGACGGACACTGTCATTGGCAACAAGCCCCAAACTGACAGTGCCATGTGGAACTCATCCCGAATGCACATCTTTCTAGTTATCCTATGTGAGCATCCTTTAAAACAATTACATGTCCCAAACACCTCGAAACTTAAATTAGTAATATGGATTTGAAATATTTTCTTACTCTTGATCAAAAAAATCCATTTGCATGGAGATGCCATTAGACACCAGGAACAACACTGAACAGACACTTGTGGTAATCCAGTGGCGAGGGCCCCACATGAAAACAGCACCTATGTAGGCGGTGAGCGCTTCTGGAGTTCAGAAAAGGGAAAATCCCAACGAGGGGTGCAAATCATGGTAAAAACATTAGCATTAAATTAGAAACCAAGTGGGCTTTAAGAGAGAATTGAAATTTGTGCCAATACAGAAAGACAGAAGGTTAAACATTCAGGGTTTAGGGCAAGGTAAGCGAAGTGAAGAGGTGCAGTAATGATTTTAGCAGCGGGAAGGGAAATGATACTGAAGAAAGGCAGAAAACATGTTTGGAGAGGAACAGTGATGTTAAATATTAAACTAAAATATTTAAGAAATCTGCAGCAGCCACTATCAATTAACTACAGCACTGTTAATAGGTCAGACTCGTGCAGCTATTTCCCGAGAATCGTGGTTCTCAGGCATGAGGGTATACGGGACCCTCCTGGAGGGCTGGGTAATCTATAGCTTGCTGAGCCCCACCCCCAGAATGTCTGATTCAGCCGGTCTGGGGTGGGGCACAAGAATCTGCATTTCTAACAAACTCCCAGGTGATGCTGATGCTGCTGGTCCAGAGACCAGCAGAAGAACCACTAAGAATAACTTTGAACACATCATATACCCTCTCCACAGGAGGCATGCCACCGCAACCCAAAAACGCTGAGAACGGCATCCATACATAACTTGAGATAGGTGCAGGCCTTCCCAAGTCTGGTCCAAGCAACCTCTGCGACAGCATGTGCTCTGGGGACAGTTAGAGCACACAGCTCTCAAGGAACTACCAGCCTGGACCCAGGAAGCCGGGCCTCAGCCCCATGTTAACCACCCACCTCCCAGTGAGGCTCATCCTGAGGAAACAGCTCTGTAGCTTGACACAGACTTATATTTAACATCTTAAAACCAACCAGGGACCAGACTGTCACTTGACACATTTCACTGAAGGCCTGGAGTTCATCAACCCACACCTAACCTGGCATCAAACCAAAGCACATATCACATTGTGTCACTTCATTAACAGTGTAATGTGGAAATGCATAACCACACCCACACGAAGACCTCAAAACTCACATCCAAATAAATGATGAGAGCCCATGAGATCACTAATGAGAACACAAACAATGGCCCACTAACCCCAATACAGACACCAAGCAGGTCTCCTGGTCACTTCTGCCCACATTTAAATTTGCAGGAATAAAAAAAGTTATTATAAGGAAACAGCACATGTAACTAGAGGCGTGATGCATGATTATGCCCTCCAGCTGCTGAGATGTACCGTAAGGTATTTTTCAGATGTGATTAATATTTAAACAGTAGACTTTGAATAAAGCAGATTACCCTCCATAATGTGGCTGGGCCTCATCCAATCAGTTGAAGGCCTTATGAGAAAAAAGACTGACCTCTTCCCAGGAAGAGAGAATTCTGCTCCAGAATGCCTTTGGACTCGAGACTGCAACAAGTCTCTTCGGGGTCTCCAGCCTGCCAATCTGCCTGTCCATTTCAGACTTGTCAGCCCAAACAACTGCATGAGTCAACTCCTTCAAATCAATCTCTCTCTCCTTGTATACAAAATATACATAATATATATGTATATGTTAATTGATCATTATCAAGCAGGAACAGATTGTGAATAGACAGTGTCACAGAACTGTCAACGACTCCTATTGGTTCTGCTTCTCTGGAGAACCCTGACAAATAACACCCCTCACAGGCCATAATCTCCATTCCTTACTGGATAATAATCAATTACCTCCATCCCGTGAACCCCAGGCCACCGAAGCAGAACGTGCACACTTAATGGCTGCGCCACTGGGCGGGCCACTGAAATTTCCTGAATTCATCTTCTGCCTGTACTCCTGTTGACTCTGACCGCCTCCGATCTTATGCTCCAGTCAGTCCACAGGCCTTGCAGTCCTCCGGAACACCACGTGCCTGCTGCTTCTCAGCCCACACTGCCGCTGGCCCCTCAAGCTGGGAACACCCTCCCACCACCCACCTCTCCTTCTTTCAGCCTCTCTAGTTCTTACCCATCCTTCATGACTCAACTAAAAGGGACTTCCTCCCCTTGAGAAAAGCCTTCCTTGCTTACCTCCTGCTCCCAGTGGGTGGGTGTGTCTTACCTAAAACTCACCGTACCTGTGTTTGTCTTTGCCACAGCATTCAGCACTCTGTACTCTATTTTTTATTTGCAGATATGTCTTCCCTTAGGAGGCTGCAGGCTTCCTGACTCCGGCACGTGTGAGTTACTGACCCTTGTCTACAGGGACCAGCTCACAGTGGACTCTCAGTGAGTGTCCATCGCTGGGAACTGCAAAAGCATGTTTCTGAATTACAAAGAAGCCTCAAACCCCGTAAGTTCAACAGCTATTAGTCTCGATCTACACATTACTCCTTCTAGAATGCTGCACGACTAGAGTGAGCGTACTTCTCGAACTCAACAACTCCTTCTTTTTCTTTCATATACCAAAATACCCAAAACAAACAAAAACACTTCCTCCTTATCTGTCTGCTTCCAGTCAGATGGTATTTATGTCCTTAAGACAGGGACTTACACTAAATTCGCTAACGTTCCATTCATTTTGTAGGGCGTGAATACAATTTATCATTCCTAGCTCCCAGTAATACCCTGAACATTACGCAAACAAACAGTTTCGACTGGTCCTTTAGCAAAGTCTTCCTGCACGAGACCTCAGCACTGCGAGGCTGGCTTGCATTTCACAACTAACAACGCCCCATAGCTTGTCAGACTAAAATCATCTGGCTGCTGAAGCTTTTCTCCTGGCCATCAAAGTGATCTGCATTGCTAGTCCCTGGTAATTATCTCAATAACTCTGATTGTTTAAAAAAAAAGACAAAACAAGAAAGCCTGAATTTATATTATTATGTATTGGAAAAAAGATGAAAATTTTTTACACTGAAGAGAAGTTTCAAAGTACAGTTTAGCAACAAGTGGATTCCCTTTAGATTTAGAAATAATAAAGCAAAAATATAAAAGGTACTTAACAGGCCGTATAAGATATTGCCACTAGACAAAAAGGAATCAGATACAATACTCCATCAAATACAATACAAAGGAGATGGATGATACGTAGACAAATGATAGATAGACAGACAGATACATAGACAGTCAGATACATAGATAGATACATAGACAGACAGATACATAGACAGATAGGTGGTAGACAGGCTGACACTCAGAAAAACAGACACACAGGGAGGTTTTACGTAATCCTTTCACATGTCAATTCGCAGGACATATTCTAACCAAACAAATAGGATGCTTGTTTTGATATAAATTTCACCAGATATCCTTGGCATAGTACGAAATACATGGATTATTCCGATTGTCCCTGATATGTGAGGGCTCCAAATGTTACATCAGCCACACGCCTCCTTGCTGAGTTTTGAAGAAATAAAACAATTTTCGAGCCAAGGAAGAATAGCATCAGATGACACACAAGTTATTTCAAGCAGTTTTAATTAAAGAACTTTCGAAATAGTATTTTACATTTAAAAAAACAAGACAGGTAAGTATATGCAAATGATTTGTATTTCTGCAGAAAATTTGGAAATAGTACACTGTTATGTCAAGTTAATCCTCTTAGTCAGTTTGACTTTCCTCCATGGTTAGTAGAATTTCGTGTCTGCACATTGCCAGATACTTGTCTTACTGACCTCCTAATTAAACAGATGAATTAGAGTGTTATTTGGAAAGCAAATGAACAGTTTCAATACTTCAAATTAAAGGACTTTATAAACAGCAAAAATAATTCACTGTTTGCCTATGTCCAGTTGCTATTTGGTATTTCTTTCAAAAAATATTTATTGATCACCTTTTATCATCAAGTTACTTTCAGAATATAAGGATGACTCATCAGACATTCTAGCAAGGGAGACAACTAAAGTAGCCACGTGCCCTATCTAACCAAGGGTAGTGCTGTCTTACGCCTCCCATCCTGGCATAATTATTTATAGCACTGCCTTTCACTCCTAAAATTGTTCCAGTTTAAACAATAAATCTTATGGCCACTGTACGGCTAAGAAACGTACGTAAATTAACAAGAAACATGATGATGCCATTAAAGAATTACAAATGGCCATTCACATAGTGTTCGTGGAAGGAAGTGCACGCCCCACAGAGCTGAGTTCTAGCCGCTTCTAGGATGTTGCAGAGGATTTAAAGTGAATTTAGCACCAAAATATCAAATACAAATATCTGACCATTGCATTGATTTCCCACTACTTCACAAGTGTCACCAGGCTAGAATGTAGTCACCCAGTTGCTACTCGATGTTAATCATACCTAGTAGTGGGTGTTTGAACAAATTAATAAATAATTACAAATGAATGCATTTTGATAACTTCTGCACAAATTATTGCTCCTGCTTAGTTATATTAATAATAATAGCTAATGTTACCTGGGTATTCATATGCACCTGGCATAGCCATAATCCCTTTACATACAGACTTTCAACTGATATTTATTAATGCTTATGATAAAAAACGCTTTCTTACCATTATCACCCCCATGTCACAGACGAGGAAACACCGAGGGGATAAGTAACCTGCCCAAGATTACAGAACAAACGAGCACAGGCGGCCGCGCTCCCCACCCTCCTCCAAGTCCCCGCCGCCAGCTTTAGTCGAGTCGGGAGCCACCCACGCCCCTCGGTTTTTCATCTTACCCTTATTATTTATTGTAAAATCTTAACAAATTACAGTTAAAACTGTACTTACTGTGCCCTCATGTGTCTTACATAATGCCTTATGAGCACAGCACAGGAAGTCCCAATATTCAGGGTCCAAAGGGTATCACACAGGGTTGTCTGAAACTGGAAGTGTTATCAACAGGCACCTCCCTAGATATATCTTCAATTTGAGTCCTTTCCGTCACCAGTCCAGCTATAATAAAAATCAGACAATCAGAAGCATATTCCTTTTCCTTCTCTCCCTCTCTCCCTCCCTCCCTCTCTCTCTCACACACACAGTCACAGCAGCAGTCCAGAGAGACAAGCCTCAGGGAATATCAGCACTGTAATAAGTCTGGTTAGTTTATCTTAGGGCTTACCTATCTGAATTCTTTCTAGAACAATATTTGACATTTTACACTCCATTCAAAAATGGGTAACATAGATAAATATTTTCTATCTCCTTAGAACACAGTATCTCTTAAGAGGTTTGTTCCATACTGAGGTCTCCAAACTTGAGCAAGCTAAGTTTCCAAAAGTTCACTCTAGAGAACTTCCTGCCAAGATGGCGCGGAATAGCCTTGCTTTGTGATACCCCTTTGCTGTAAACAAAGAACAAAGCCTTTAAAATATACACTGAATAACCCTTGTAAACCTGCAGCAAATCAGAAAGAAAGTGACAAGCGAGGCTAAAACCTTCAGTCCACTGGGCTCCAGAGGAAGAAAAAGGCAGAGGAAGCCCAGAGCCCAGGGGTCGACATGAGATGGGCGCTGCAGCCAGTTGTACCCCTTCAAGTCAGGAGATGGCGAGAGGCTCCACCAGCCACAAATGGGAGCTGAGTGCAACTTCCACCACAAATGCATAGAGCTCCGGGTGACAGTAGTGAGTCTAAGAAGGCAGGAAGGGCAATACGCACTCCTGCCCAGGACGTGGGCCCCAGGGAACCAGGCAGGGGTGACCACAAAATCAAAAAGCCAGGAGAAAGTGGGCACACACAGAATGAGAAAACAAGGTCCTCCCACTCAGTGTGCCTGAAAATCAAAATTCAAAACCACATACAGAAACCAAAGGCTAAGAAAGACAGCAAGTAAAATAAGCCGCTGGAGGAAGAAGTCACCCTGATGAAATTTAAACTACAAAGAATACTGACAAATATTCCTAAGTAAATAAGTTCAAGATGCTCAAAACGACAAATGAAAAAAGATCGCAAATGAACAAGAAATTATGAACAATAATACAAGGAAGTAAAGCAAAAAGTGTTGGAAATGAAATAAGTTTAAACATTAGCAATTTAAAGTGTGGTCAATAAGATATACGAACCTGACACACTTTTAGCTAGACACACCATGAAAAAGAGAAGATTCAGTTACTAAAACTGGAATGAGAGAGGGTACATCAGCACTGATCTTAGAGGAATCAAAAAGATTCTAAGGGAATACTATGAAAATTGTATGTGGATAAAGTAGATAGCTTGCATGAAATCCCTAAAAAGACACAAATTACTGAAAATTAATCAAGAAGAAATAAAAAATCTGAATATTCTCATAACAAGTAAAGAGATAAAAATAGCAATTTTCAGACTTCCCAAGAAGAAAAGCCCAGGCCCAGACGACTTACACCAAATATTCAAAGAATTAATACCTATCCTTCACAGACTCTTCCAAAAAAGAGAAAAGAAGAAGGGATACTTCCAGTTCATTCTATGAGACCAGTATTGCCAATTCCAAAACAGACAGAGATATCACATGGAAAAAAACTACAGACCAGGATCCCTTACGAATATAGATTCAAAATACCTCAACAAACTGAATCCAGCAACATATAATAGGATTATACAACATAACTAGGAATGCAGGGTTAGTTTAACATTAGAAAATCAATTAATGTATTACACCATATTAAGAGATTTAAGGACAAAAACCACATAATCATATCAATAAAAACAGAAAAGTCTTTTAACAAAAGTTATACCCTTTAAAAGTTAAGAAACCTCTCAATAAAATAGAAACAGAAGCAACTTCCCAAAGCTGATAAAGAGCATTTATGAAACACCTACAACTAACATCATTCTCAGTGATCAAAGACTGAAACCTTCTCCCTAAGATCACAAACAAGGCAAGGAATTCTGCTGTCACAGCAGAATTTAATTTAATAACGTGCAGAAGTTTCTAGTGGGGGCAGTTAGGCAAGAAAAAGAAATAAAAAGGCATCTAAATGGGAAAGGAAGAAGTAAAACTCTCTCTGTTAAGGATGACATGATCTAGTATGTAAAAAATCCTAAGGAATCAATTAATAAAACTATTAGAACTAATAAATGAATTTACAAGGTTGCAGGATAGAAGGTCAATATAAAAAAATCAGTTGTATTTCTATACACAAGCAAATAACAAACCAAGAATAAATTAAAACAATCCTGTTCATAATAGAATCAAAAGATAAAATACATACAAATTTAACAAAAGAAGTCTAAGACGTGTAAAATGGAAACTACAAAACACTGTTAAAAGAAATTAATGAACGATATTTTTTGTTAATGGGTTGGAAGACATTAATTTTAAGATGGCAATATTCCCCAAATTAACGAACAGATTAAATGCAATATCTATCAAAATCCCAAGTGACTTTTTTGCAGAAATTGATAAATCAATCCTAAAACGCTTATGGCAATGCAAAGAACCCAGAATAGCCAAAACAATCATGAAAAAGAAGAAAGTTAGAGAACTCACACTTCCTAATTTCAAAGCTTACTACAGAGCTACAGTAATTGTGACAGTGTGGTACTGGCATAAAGCCAGACATACAGACCAGCTGAACAGAATGATGTTCCAGAAATAAACCCATACATCTATCGTTAATTAATTTTCAACAAGGGTGCCCACTGGGGAAAGAACAGTCTTTTTCAATAAAAACGGTGCTGGGACAACTGGAAAAGCACATGCAAAAGAATGAAGCTGGATCCTTACCTTACACCATATACAAATATTAATTCAAAATGGACCATAGACTTAAATGTAAGAGCTAAAACTATGAAATTCTTAAAGAAAATAAAGGAGTAAATCTTCATAACCTTTGGTTAGGTAATGGCTTCTTGGATATGACACCAAAAGGACAAGTGACAAAAGAAAAATAGGTAAAGTAGACTAAATCAAAATTAAAACCTTTTCTGCTGTAAATGATAACTGTCAAGAAAGTTAAAGGACAACCTACAGAATGGGAGAAAATATTTGAAAATCACATATCTAAAGGAAGATAATTTGAACATTTTCTATAGAAAAAGACATTGAACAGCAAAGAATTTGAACAGGTATTTCGCTAGAAAAAGATGTACAAATGGCCAACACGCACATGAAAAGATACTCAAAATCATTAATCATTAGGGAAATGGAAATAAAAAACACAAGATATCACTTCACATCCACTAAGACAGCTATAATCAAAAAGACAGACAGTAATAAGGATGTGGAGAAAATAGACTTCATACATTGCTAGTAGAATGTAAAATGGTGTAGCCACTTTGGAAAATAATTTGGCAGTGCCTCAAAATGTTAAAGTGAACCAGCGATTCCATTCCTAGGCATATATCCAAGAGAAATGAAAACATATGTCTAAACAAAAACTTGCACACGAACGTTCACAGCAGCATTATTCATAATAGCCCAAAGTGGAAACAACCCAAAGTCCATCAACTGATGAGTGAATGAACAAAATGTGGGGTTTCTATACAACATGGAATACTATTCAGGAAGAAAAAGAAATGATGCACTGATACATGGATGAACCTTGAAATGGGAAGTGACTGTTAATGGATATTGGGTGTCTTTCAGAGGCTACAGAATGTTCTAAAATTAGACTGTTATGATGATTGTACAACACTGTGAATATACTAAAAAGCCTTGAATTGTATGCTTTAGATGTGTGAATCATACACTACCTGAATTTTATCTCACTAAAGCTCCTTTAAAATGCAGTCATTGATACCAAAAAAGAAAACTGGAAAAGCAAAATACACTGAGACTAGACACAGTCCAAAAGATTGTAAGTAAATTCCAAGATGGGACTGAAGAAAACAGGGATAAAAGCTTAAGAAAATTTTTTTAGTGAGACAAAAGAAATGTACTGGCACCCAATATTGTGAAGATGACAATAATTCTGAAATTAATTTATAAGTCTATGCCATTCCAGTCAAAATTCTAATATTTTCTGTTGGAATTTGTCAAGCTTTTCCTAAAATGAAGAAACAAAAGACAAAAAAACAAACCTAAGAAGAGCTATGTGAAAATGTTTACCTTATCATCTTATTATGAAGCAATAGTTATTAAGTCAGTGTGATACTTGTACAGAGATAGGCTAACAGAGCAAGGAGACAGATGAGAGAGCCCTAAAAAAGAAAGGTATGCATGAAAACTTGATTATCAGAGGAGGTATAACGTCAGCTGTGAACTTTTCATATACGGCCTTTACTAAATTGATAAAAGTAAATCTTTTTATAACTGATTTGTTGATAGATTTATCATAAAAGTGTTTTGAATTCCGTCAAATGCTTTTTGTGCGTCCATTGAGATGATCATGTGATTTTTATCTTTCATTCTGTTAAAGTGCTGTCTCACATTAACTGATGTTAGCATGTTGCACCATCCTTTTATGTCAGGCATAAATCCCACTTGTTCATAGTGTATGACCCTTTAAACGTGCTGTTTCATTCAGATTGCTTATATTTTGTTGAGGATTTTTCCTTCTATATACATCCAGGATATTGGCCTATAAGTTTCTTTTCATGTCTTGTCTTTGGCTTTGGTATCAAGGAAGTGGTGGCCTCATAAAATGAGTTTGGAAGTATTCTCTTCTGTTCCATTCTTTGCAAAAGTTTGATAAGGAATGGCATTAATTCTTACTTAAATGTTTGGACGAATTCACCAATGAAGCCATCTGGTCCCGGGCTTTTCTTCACTGGGAGTTTTTTGATTACTGATTCAGTCTCCCTAGTAGTTATAGATCTGTTCTGTTTATTCATGAGTTAGTCTTGGAAGGTTGCATGTCTCTAGGGATTTATCCAATTCTTATAGGTTATTCAGTTTGTTGTTGCAATCATGGTAATCTCCTGTGATCCTTTTTATCTCTGTGGCATCAGATGTAATGTCCCCTCTCTCATTTCTGATTTCATTTGGTCTTCTCCCTGTTTCATAATTAGTTTAACAGCTAAGGATTTGTCAATT